GACTCAAAATAATTTGAGGGAAGCTAAGGAGAAAGAGGAGCACAGTTTGAGCATCCAAATGCCCAATTTAAGAAAATCTCTGTAAACTTTGCATTTAGTTTTCATATGACAAAAACCTGTCATATACTCTCAAAATTATTCTTGGCAATTCACACTCCATCATATGAATATATATAAGAGAAGAGAATTATACCTTAATTTATTAACTTTGGCATTTTTACCTTACAGTAAGCTTGTATGTTTGACATTCTTGGAAAACATATACATATCTGTCCCTATAAACAGAGATAGATACTCATGTGTAGAGTGGTATCTATAGATGCATCTACCTGCATATATACTTTAAAGAAAGTTAGCTTGTTTGCCTGGTGAGTATTCACAAGCTGACTCGGCTCTATTTTTTTGTTTATGCCATCAGATGTAATTGGTTTGTTTCACATGTCAGATCAGTCTTGCTAAAACTTTACAACAAAGCTGAAAATCTCAACAATATTTAATTACAGTCTTTCCTCAGAGTTCTTATGGAAAATTATTGTAATTAAAATCCCAAATTAGGTCTTATCTCATGTGCTATCTAGAAAGTTAGACTACTCACGATAACCACCATAACCACAATACCTAACTGACATATGCCACCCACATTAACTTCACAAGGTTTTCCAAAATACTGTGGTTTTCATGCCAGCTCCTAACAGATATTAATTTCTTACTACCTTAAAATAATTTTTAAATTTCTCCTCAGAAGCGGGAGATTTCTCTTAGTCTGTTCTCTGTCCTGCTAATTTAGGTTTGAAATTAGCTTGCCATGAAAAATAATAAAATAATAGTTTATAACAGTGGTGGTCAGCCTCCGGTCAATGGGACAATGTCATCTAATTTGTGGGTCTCCTCATGGGTTCAAAAATTTGGCAGTGGTGGAGCAGGGGCAGGATTAATTGTACCTTCCCAGCTGCCTAATTTTACTCTGCAGTTGAATCCTGTGTGTGGTATTAGGCCTACTTGCTGGATCATACCAGCAGATTGATACCCTGCACCTGCCCCATGCTGGATCAGGCCCGTGCCACTCATCTGGCTTCTGCCACTCATCTGGCTTATAATAAAAAATAGAACCACTCCTAGGTGCACTTCCTATAGGCCTTTACGTGGGGGCAAATTTCATTGGCATTACTTGAGTAAAGACTTCGAAGACTAGAAATTTAGGCTCAGACCCTACAATGAACTTTGTGTGGATGCACTTCAATGCCCACATAGATGCTTGCTAAAAACAAACAAACTGGCTTTAAGCAAAGCCAGAAGTCTGCCTATACAGTTGTTTTTTTTGCAGGGCTGAGATATTTATGAGATGTACAGTGAAAGCTGCAGTAAGCATTACATCTATTATAAGACCCCTTGCTTAAGTAACCACTTAAAATTATCTGTAGGATTTTTAATACAATTGTATTTAAACTTTAATGAAGAACTACCTCTGCTTGGCAAATTCTTTTTGATTGTGCTTTTCATAGTTACTTAAAACAGGTTTCACTGTGTGCACATCTGTGGGGGGTGGGGGGTGTATGTGTATATAAGCTACATGTATAAGCTGTCTTCCTTTGTATAGTGTTAACCAGATCACTTCTGCTTCACTGTATGGGTACAATACTTTCAGTAAGGACATTGATAATCATAATAGATACATAATAGAAAGCAAGAAGACAATGTCCTTGTCCCTCCATTTTTTAATAAAAGAATATAATGATATAGGCCGAGAACCACATGACATACCAAATGGAACCTGCCATCTCTGCTATTTGGTATACAGCTCTTATTCCTCTTTTTTTATCCCTATGCTTAGAAGAAAAGCGTTCTTTTTAACAACTCAAGACAGAATTTCCTGAAAATCCCTTTTTGGTGCATCTTTATTGTTCTGCAGACTCATTGGCAGCTGATGGCTCGATTTCATCAATTATGCAGCTAAACCTTTATTCTACGTTAGTTTTTGTGTTTAAATTATGGTGTGCAGAAGGACAGCCTTCATTTACTGTGTTTTCAAAAAATGGATACTGTCTCTTTAATGAAAGAAAAAAGTCAGTATAATGTTTCCCAAATGTAAATGCAATACGGAATAACATATAGCTGTGGTTATGTTATATGACATTTGGCGCAGTAGTATTAACATATTGCACAAACTCTGGGTTTTCCCTACTGTGGAAAATAAGACAGTAAAAGACATGGGAGATATTTCATATGACTGTAAAATAAATATATTTTTTTCCCCTTTTTTTGTCACTTGCTTGCAGAAATATTTTAGTATTATCTGTGTTTAAGCCAGTTCTTCATCATGTATGTAATATGCATACAGTACAAGGAGAAATGGAACAAGATGGCAGTTACAGCAGTGGCAAAATGCAAATTTATTTTGGCAAAAAAGTAATATGTGCACAATATCAAGCATGCTTAAGTTTGTGCCAGGAAAACTATTACGAATGAGGAATGGATGAAATGAAACTTTGCATCATACATGATTATGTGTTATTTAACTTCATAAAAGAGTCTTTGTCTACTTGTGATTTCCTAGCTGCCCCCAAAAGAAGCTGCATACCATACTCCTGGGACTGATGTATCTGGTTGGAATGGTAACAAATATCATAGCAGTAGTAATCCCAGGAACATGATTTTTTTTTTCCTTATATGAAGGAAATATACCAAAAGTATGTCAGAGAATTCACAGACCATTTAACTGCAGGCACTGACTCAGGGTGAGGGTAGGGGGAGTATTTTATTACATTTTATACTTAATAATTAAGATTTTGTAATTGCTTCCTGCTTCATTTTGTCCAACTTTAATTTGGCTATTTTATGCATTTGATGATGTTACCACTGTTTTTTCCTCAGCTGTATTTCTCCCATATAGTATGACATGTTACTGAGTGTAGTTAAGCAGTGGAGAAGTCATATTTTTCACTGACACCATTTGAAAACACCTTTAAAAAAAAGCAAAAGAAGAAGTGGTGAGAGAGTAAGAGAAAGAGAGAAGGCAGAAGAGAGACATGGTGAGAAAGAAAACAATATTCCTTAAAGATCATTCTCCACACTAGCTGTCACCATGAGGCAAAATAGGATAGAGTGAACAGAAAAGGTAACTCTTCTTCATATGCCAGTTTAACTGGGATGAATAGGACTTGCTACTATATTGGTGCAGTGTAAAAATAGATGACTATGGGTAACAGAGAGAACAAAAATAAATGAATAACATCACAGAAATGGATGTTGAATGGCCTTTGCACAGCAGAGGTAGATAAAGGTTATAACAAACTGTTTACTGACCATATACACTTAATATAATTAAGAGGTCAGTTGAACAAGAGCTCACCCAGTAGGTGCTTTCTCAGTAGTGTGATTTATAATCTATCATTCAATACCACAACAATGCCCAGTTATTGCTCCACTACTTCAATAATAATCCCATCCTTTTTCAAATCTACATTCTACCATTAATTAAGGCTTTTTCATTTACATTTCTACATTTTTCCACAGTTTGCATCAGTTCAATGTAATTAACACATGTGCCTCTAAAAGAAAAAAAAGCACCATGTTTTATTGAACAGAATATCGTATGTTGGGGGAAGGGAAAGGTGGAGAGTTATGGAAACAAACCAGAGCTGAAAAATTTCGCATTTTGGTGCTTTTTTTGTATTTGCACAGATCATCTTAGGATCCTTAGTCCCAGTCATAGTAAAACACTATCAAAACAAATGTTTTTGCAAAATATTTGAGCTTTTACATCTTAACAAATGCAGTTTGAACTGCTTAAGCAGTAAGATTTTTTTTCTTCAGTATTTTACAGACTGTAAAATGTGAATAAAAACACATACCTATGCACCAGTGATTAAATACTCTTATAACAGAAATATTTATCAAGGGGTATTTCATAGCTAGAAAGTTATAACTAAATTGTATTTGCTAAGAGAACATTTCCTATAGTTTTCCTTCATCTCCCAGCTACACAGCAAACATCTCTAAAGTGCACTTTCCAAGTGTAGTTAGAGAATAGGAAGGAATGTAAAGTTTTTAAAAACAGCCCTTATTAACTTTTCCTTCCATTGATTCTACTGTAAACTCTAAAAAGCCTTTTTAAAAAGCAAATTCTCATACACTCAGCAGGTGAAATGTTCCCACACAAAAAAAGAAAAAAAAAAGGCAATCAGATTACAATCCTTTCCCTTGACTACCAATATCCTAGTATATTCTTTGCTGTTTTATTGCACATTTATGAAAATGCTTGATTTCTTTATTAAAAAAGCAGATTCTTTAGCTGTGCTAACATAACACACTGCACCCTTAATAACTGGAATAGCTTTCAACAGCATATAGCTATTAGAAAAACAATAGATTCAAAATTGTACACACATTTTGTATTGTTGGTGGTCAGGTGCTTCTACTGTAGCTTCATTAGAACAAAAAAGATTTTTTTTTTCCTGAAAACCTTTGTTCCCATATGTTGTGGATATTTGCTGGTTACGTGACTTCAGTGGAACTCAAAACGTAATTCACAATGAATGCCAATCTTTAACCTCCAATGTGAAGGTTTCCTGACTATTAACTCGCTGAGCTTAACTAGTTTCACATACTGCATCTGAAAAGGCTGCTCCTGTTCAACTGACCAGCGAGAAAGGACTGGACTTTTTGAAAATGGGATTTGGAATAACAGTTTGTTATATATATCTTTACATAAAAATTTGTTAGCTGTCTGATCCCACCTTATAAGGAGAGCACTTGTTTGTTCAGCTAAAAGGAACCCCTATCATGCTCCCTTTGGGTTTGCTCAGTCAGCTGGTTTGTGCAACAGTGGCAGAGGTACACTGGAATTATGTGTACCTATTCATTGTGATTACACAGACAGAAGCAAGTGGATGTTGTCTGCTAACAGGAGATGGGAAAGGGAGGAGGAGAAGAATGGTTTCCATGGGTAAAAGAACAGTTAGGTATTATTTTTTTGTGATTTTTTGTTGGTTTTTTTGTGTGTGTGTGGGGGGGGGGGGGGGGTTTGTAGTTTTTTAGCTATGGCATGGAATCATAGCAGTCATTCCTCTAATAGAAACTGACAGGACATAAAAGACAGAACTATCAGATGAACACACACAATGACTAGAAATATATCGACAGTGAAAAGACTTAGTTTAGCTTTGAGAAACCATCCCAAAAATAAAATCCTGTATTAACAAGTGCAAAAACAAACAAAAAGGAAACTCCAAACATTAAAACACAGTGTATAAAATGGTGTGAGAAATTTAAGTCACCATACAGCCTTTTAGTCAATAAAAAGCTGTGTTCATGTGTCCTTGTTTGGATTGTGGCCCATCCTTTTAATTTTACCCAGAAGGCCTTTCAAGAAGTGATCTGAGGGTAAAAGCACCCAGTCTCTGTTATATTTGACTGTAGTACATTTGGGCCTCTTGTATGTCTATCACATTTTATGAATCCTTTCTTTTATTCTTCATTAGTTGAATTATCGTCCATAGTTGTTATGCCTTCAAAGCCCAGTCCTGTTGAGTTCTGTGCTGCTGAGACTGTAAGTACTGTATGTAAGAGAATTAATACAAGAACACACAGTTTAAGTCTGCTATTACACAGTCTTGATGCTGATGAAACTGTGAGCGATGTCCTGTGACACATCGTTGAGTCACTTGATTTTATAGTCCCTTTGGATTGGTGATCTGATAATAGTCCCCATCTGACATCACAGCATTCTGGTTCTGCATTGGTTGGATTGTTTTCATAGAGCCCTGTAGAATAAACATTACAGAAAATTAATGCCATGAATAGAATGGACTTTTCTAGACTCAGCTATTAGTTCCAGGTCTGGCCTTTGTGGGTTTTAGGAACTGCTTAGGTGTTAAAGTTAGTCTACCCAGGGGGACAATGAAATAGGTTTCAGAAGGATTGCATAAAATGTGAAAATAGATGGCATGCCAACTCATTCCTACTATGAACCTGCTAAAGGCTGAAAAAATGTAATGCAGCCACTGTTTGGTACCTGGGACACTCATTCTCAAGCATGTTTATCAGACTGGACATTTTCTCAGCATTTGACATACACAGAATATGACTGACTCGGTAGGATGTAAGTTTATGATGGCCCTCCTTACCATAGTCAGTGGTGAATAAATATATCCTCATGTCTATTTTTGTTCTGATTTGGATAGATATTAGTACATGTTTAGCCATTTGGTGGAAAATGGTATACGTACATTGACTTTACAGCAATATTTTTTTTAAAAGATCTACTCATAATGGTACACAATCCACTTAAAAGTCCCAATTCTAACCAAGTTCCTCTGATTCAGTTCTCTGTACTTAGTTGTGTACACTCCAGAGTAAAAACCCTATAATTACTAGAGTTGTCCGGACAGTGCTATAGCAAGGCCGGGGCGGGGGGGCAAAAGCGGTTTCATGGTTTCATAGTAGGTAGGGTTGGAAGGGACCTAAGCAGATCATCAAGTCTGACCCACTGCCCCGGGCAGGAAAGGATGCTGGGGTCAAACAACCCTGCCTAGGTGATTGTTTAGCCTCTTTTTGAAGACCCCCCCAGGGTAGCAGTGAGCACCACTTCCCTTTGAAGTTGATTCCAGATCCTAGCCACCCTGACTGTGAAGTAGTGCCTCCTGATATCTAGCCTGAATCTACTCTCAGCCAACTTATGGCCGTTGTTCCTCGTTACTCCTGGTAGTGCTTGGGGGAACAGGGACTTTCCCATAGACTGCTGGCTCTTTCTGCCTCTGTGCTGACTAGAAGGGAGTTCCCCAGCCTGTGGGTATGTTGCTGGTTCTTCCTCCCTAGGTGTAGTACCTTGTACTCGTCAGTATTAAATCCCATCCTGTTCTCATCCACCCACCTCTGTAACCTGTCCAGATCTAGTTGTAGCCTGTCCCTCTCTTCCACTGTGCCCACTTCTCCCCACATCTTAGTGTCATCCGCGAATTTGTACAAGGTGCTTTTCACCCCCTTGTCCAAGTTGCTGATGAAGATGTTGAACATTGTGGGCCCAAGGACCCATCCCTGGGGGACCCCACTGCCCACATCCCTCCAGGTCAAAAAAGACCCATCCACCACCACTCTCTGGGTGTGGCCCTCCAGCCAATTTGTGACCCATCTGACCATGTAGGCATCGATGCCACAGTCGCCTAATTTTTTAATGAAAAGGGGTGAGAGAGAGTGTTGAAGGGCCTTTGGTCTTGACCTGGAAGGGTGTGGGCAGTGGGGTCCCGCAGGGCTCGGTCCTTGGACCGATACTCTTTAATGTCTTCATCAGCGACTTGGACGAGGGAGTGAAATGTACTCTGTCCAAGTTTGCAGATGACACAAAGCTATGGGGAGAAGTGGACACGCTGGAGGGCAGGGAACAGCTGCAAGCAGACCTGGACAGGTTGGACAAGTGGGCAGAAAACAACAGAATGCAGTTCAACAAGGAGAAATGCAAAGTGCTGCACCTAGGGAGGAAAAATGTCCAGCACACCTACAGCCTAGAGAATGACCTGCTGGGTGGCACGGAAGTGGAAAGGGATCTTGGAGTCCTAGCGCACTTCAAGAGGGATGCGGATAACCCGGAGAGGTTCCAGAGAAGGGCCACTCATATGGTTAAGGGCCTGCAGACCAAGCCCTACGAGGAGAGAATAGAGAAACTGGACCTTTTCAGCCTCTGCAAGAGAAGGTTGAGAGGCGACCTTGTGGCTGCCTATAAGTACATCACAGGGGCACAGAAGGGAATTGGTGAGTATTTATCCACCAAGGCACCCCCAGGGCTTACAAGAAATAATGGCCACAAGCTAGCAGAGAGCAGATTTAGATTGGACATTAGGAAGAACTTCTTCACAGTTAGAGTGGCCAAGGTCTGGAACGGGCTCCCAATCCCGGGAGGTGGTGCTCTCCCCTACCCTGGGGGTCTTCAAGAGGAGGTTAGATAAGCATCTAGATGGGGTCATCTAGACCCAGCACTCTTCCCTGCATATGCAGGGGGTCGGACTCGATCTGTTGAGGTCCCTTCCGACCCTAACATCTATGAATCTATGAAGTCTAGGAAGACTACGTCCACTGAGACACCTGCGTCTAAGGATTTAGTGACCTGATCATAGAAGGCCACCAGGTTGGTCTAACAGGACCTGCCTCGAATGAACCCATGTTGGTTGCCCTGAAGCATGATCTCCCCTGCTGGCCCCTTGCAGAGGTCACCGCCCCAGGACAGCCAAAAAGTGCCAAAAGGTGCTGCCCAGCCAGGGCGGTGCACAGGATGGAGCCATGAGGGGGCGTGGGGACAGGGGGAGGGCAGGTCCTACCACTGCATGCACTCCCAGGCAAGCATGGCGGGGGGCATGTGCCTCCAGATTTGTGCACAGGGCAAGGGCGTGCTGCCACTGTGGGTTTTTCCCCCAGGTGCCAAACTTTGTTGGTACAGCACTGTGTCTAAAATTCAGGTAAACAGCAAGCCATCAGGCAATTCTCTATTTTCTTACCGTTTGAACTGTATAGCAGTAATGAACCTTATATGATTTTGTAATTTGAATCATAAGGAAGTAAGGTTGGAAAGGACTTCCACGTCATCTAGTCCAATCCCCTGCCTGAAGCAGGGTCATCCCTATCCAAAACATCCTATACAAATCCATTGTCTAACCTCTTAGCAAAGCTTCACAGTCAGCTCTAATGTAACAAGACATAACACCGTAACCTGCCACACGTAAAGCAGGGGGGACATGGCAGCCAACGTCCTGCTGTTCTATATTTTGTAATTGTATTCTTAACAGATCCTAGGAAGTTGGTTATGTACCATGCTATACAGGATGGCAAAACCCCCCACAGTCCATATCAGTTTGACCATGGGGTAAATTCCTTCCTGAATTTTGGAATATCTATTTCTACACTTCCCAAAAATTTAAATGCTGTACAAGTTGTTATATTTTGGGTCAGTAATGAAACAACATATTACTTTTTTCCCATAAATGTGTTTTACAGAGAACATGATTTGGAGTTGGAATTGCAAAAGCAATAAGTTTAAATAATGGCCCCAAATCCTTCTTTAATTTAAACTGGTAAATTAAGGAAATATGGTCTTTATAACTAAAAATATAGTTCAACATAGCATCATAAATTCACACTATGAAGGCTAAATTGCAAAAAGTAACCTAGAGCTGTACTAAAATTTTTGGACAAGGCTTTTTAATAGGAATAGAAGATTTCTACTCATTGTAAACTGAACTCTTTTCTAGAAAAAGGCCTATCTTTTTCTATCTGTCTATTGTTGAAATATACTAACAATTACACAGTAGCTGTCTGATATACAATTAAACAACCAAGTTTACTCAGTTCACAGGCAAAACATAGATGAAACCCAAAGTGGTATATTTTATTTTTGTATTTTGGGACCTAAAATGATGGCAGGCTTACACCAGTGTAAATTAGAGGTGCAACTGGACAATTCTGTGCCTTGGGTGACAATGGGGCACAGGGCAGCAGCTACAGTCAGGTTGTCATTGGTGGTGTGGTGCCCAGGAGAACAGTGGCACTGACTGCTGTTTTTCTATGCCCCTTAAATCAGTATCCCTAGGGCTAGTGTCATAGTTGCCTCCCTTCTTTGTTATGTTATTGATATAATCAGCCTTTGCATCAGGGTAAAAAAGAATTAGACAGATGATGGAAACCCCACACCAGGCTAATGTCACCCAATCTAGTGCAAAATTACATCTGAAAGGATCATAGAGAATCTGTACTCTTGGCAGGAGCACCTGGCTTCAAAGCAGCACTAACTTCAGGGGTCACGCTCATTGGCTGCAGGGTAGGCTGGGTTCAGATTTGAACACAGGCATGGATGAACTGGGCAGCTGCCGGGGGCCCAGCAATGAAAAAAAAATGAAAAAAAAACCATTCCAATAGCAAAAAAATGTTTTAATATTGCGCATATACGGGACTGGCAATGTTATCAACTGAGAGTGAGCTATATAAAGACATCAATACCACAGATGTGATAAAGACTATTGCAACAAAAAACCGCCTCATAGTGGTGAAGCAGGGCCCGATACTAAAAGTTCACCCAGGACCACCAGGAATCTAGGTATGGCACTGGCTGGGCTTACTATATAAGTCCTGTCCCTTCACTTGGCATTAGTTACTTAATATTTCACACCTTGCAGCTCTCCCTCCCCATTTGTATTTTAAATTCCTGGCTTTTGACTTCTGACACAGCCTGGACTATTGACATGGATATTCCTTACTGATTGGGACTTTGACTCAGACCTTGTCTTAGGTCTGGATCTTTCTCTGGCTCAAGAACTTGTTTATCCCTGTGCTCCTTTCGACTCCCACGCCCCCATTCTCACACAAGCATTGCCTGTCTTCAGACTACAGTAAATTGGGGTAGAAATTTACGCAAGGCCCACATTCTCTCACACTACCTACTTGTGAAGCAGTAATAGTGCCTAACAGTGCAGCTAGCTAACCTGGGAGAGCAGATTACTGACTTGCTCTAGATTCCACTGTAAGTTACATAGGTGTACAAAATTGGTATCTGTTACACTGGTATATAGGCATCACCTGCTGAGGCTCTGAATTGGCATTACTATATAGACTGTCTATGATTTATAGAAAAGGATTTTCTTTTTTATTGCATCCTTTTGCATTTTAAAGCTTCTGTGAATGCTGTTTGAAAACTGAAAGAGGCTGCTGGATTTCCTTGCAGTACTCATACCAAGGAGTTGTTCCACAATACTCAGACCAGTTTTCTGGTTGTCTGATGCCT